CGCGCTGCCCCGCCCCTCCCTCCCGCGGCCCTCGGGGGGTCCGCATCCCTCAGACCCCTCCTGCCCCGGGCCCCGAGCTCCCAGCTTTCCCAGCCCTCTCAAGACCCCTCTGGATCTCCCCGCAGGCTCTCGGGCGGGAACACACTTCGCAGAGACTTTTCCCCGACAAACTTCCAGAGTCTCTGGAAGACGGTGAGTTTCTGCCGGCCCAGCTCCCCTCCTCCCACTAAGGCCGGGCCTCGGTGGGAGAGCGGGGCGAGGACGGGAGGGAGCCGAGGGGGTGCCTCCCCCTAACTGCAGCTCGAGGAGGCGGTAAAACCGAGGGGGTGGGGGAGTGGGGGGCGGGTTTCCCGGGCGCCGCCGGGCTCGAGTCACTTCCGGTGCCCTGACCTTTATAGGAGTAAACAGACCCCCGCCATCTCCGCCTCCCCTCCTGCCCAGGTGACTGACTAATCCCCCGACTTGAGGAGAAAGCGTTGGCCAAGGTTCCTTGGCCGGAGGGCGGAGTGGGGGCCGAGAAAGGGAGGCCCGAACACGGGGTCCTTCGTCGAAACTTGGCCCTGCGGGCACCCCCAGCCCTTCAAGTCACGAACTTGAAGGGGACCCCTTGGCAATTCCGATTTTCTCCCGAGCGAGCAGACAGCCTTCAGCCCGAGCCGCCCGGGCTGGCGCTTCTGACCAGCTGTGGTTTTTCCAGGCCTGAAGACCCCGGAGTGCGCCAGCGGCATGTACAAAGACACCGTCTACTCCGCCTTCAATCTGCTCATGCACTACCCACCCCCCTCGGGAGCAGGGCAGCACCCCCAGCCGCAGCCCTCGCTGGTAAGTGGCCCCAGCAGCCCAGCCCGCCTTGTGCCTGCTACCTTCTTGATCAGGTATGTGAGGCATGGGCAAGAAGTGACTTTTGCCTAGAACAAAATGGATACAGAACTCTGTTCTTGTCTCTTTCCCCATCCACACCCTGCGGGATCTGAACCAGAAGGAGAACTTTCCTGAAGTAAGGAGGGCTGCCCTAGGCACCCCACCTGCCTCCAGCGGTTGCCTTTTGTCTTCCCAGCTTGCTCATTAGCAGGCGTGGGCCCTGTCCTGGTGCTAGGTGATGCTGGGATGGAGTCGGCTTGGAGAACGGTTAAGCTGAGACCACCCACCCCTCCTGAGGGTGGTGTATGTAGTGTGCTCAGAGTTGTGAGCTTTGCTGTTAGCCTTCTCCCACTAAGCCCCAATCCTCAGTGTTTGGAGGAGCGGGCAGAAAAGCTGGTCTGCTTCAGGTCTCCTGGTTGTACAGGAGAAACATGCTCTACTCGCTCTGTCCTTATTGGCATGAATGTGGCCTTACCAGAGAAACAGCCCAAACACGATGTGTGGAAAGTGGGTTTTTATGAAGCTGGCTTGGTCTCAAATGCACCAGGAAGGGTTTGCAAAGGTGTTTCAAATCAGTAGTGTCAGTAAGCGGCCTGTTTAATGAATTTGCAAATTAAATTTAAGTACCCAGTGCTTTGAGAAGATTCCATGATCATTACAAACCATGCTTTTTGCCCACTGGTGCAGATGACCTAAAGTGTGAAGAGCCTTTTCTGAGTGCTGTGGAGCAGCAGTAAAGCTGCACTTAACAAAAAATTCAGATTAGTGTTTCAGAGTGTGCTCAGCTGGCCGAAGTCAGGGGTGAGATTAGAGCTTCTAGAGTACGTGTAAGGGTTTGGGGTCTGTGGTGGGTGGGTGTTGGGTGCAAATGTAGACCCAGGGCAGGGCAGGCCAGCAGTAGGAGGCTCACATGGCTAGTGGTGGGGGTCACCTAGAGGGCGGAGAGTGACTGCCAGGCTGTGTCAGATCAGGAGTGAGGAGGGTTGGTTCTGAAAGCTGTTTCATGCTGAAGCTGGTGGGACATGAGAAAGTATATTGAGCCTTCTCTCCAGAAACCCAGGATGGAAAACCTGGTGGTAGGCAGCTGACTAGAAATAAGCTCCTTGCCCTTTGGACCCCCATTCCTTCATCTGTGAAGGAACATGTTGGTTGAGTGGTCTGTCTGGCTTTCTGCTCTAGGGTGGTTCCGTCTGTGAGGTACTCGCTTCCTTCCAAGTCTATGGGGCAAGGGGCTCACCTTCTGACCTTGCCACCTGACGCGGCAGCTCTCCCCAGAGACCTCTACCCTCCATGAACTGATACTGAAGGATGCTTTGGGGGCCCCCTACAAGGTGTAAACCCTTAGATTTGGGGCCAAGTGGTGGGACACTTGGACCCAAATCAGACCTAGCAGGCAGATTCCTTCTAGCATCTTATGATTACACAAAGGTGCAGGGAAAATGCGGTGTTTCTGAGTTTCTTTCACAGCCTGGGCAAGTGGTAGGAGAGTGCCCAGAGTGGGAGTGCCTCGTTCTTCGTAAGGGTGTGGTGATGGGACCATTTGGTGTCCTTTAGCTTACACTGGTCGAAGTGTAGGCAGATGGATGGCTGCCTCTAGCAGTCAGGATTGGGGGGGAAGTAGGAACTAGGGCAGGCACACCATCACTCCCCTGGCCTGGATCATTCATTTTTTCAACTTTGGGCTCTTTCTCAAGGTACAGCAGATGCATTTCTATGTGTCACACCCTCTCTTATAGGGGCAGATCCCTTTGTCCTCCACCCCACACAGCTGTAGCCTCCCGCAGCCTGGCTTCTGGGAACACAGGAGGAGGGCAGGCTCTGGAGCTGACTTTCTGTGCCCTGGCATTGGCTGCTCCATGGGGCTGGGGACAAGGACAGAGGCAAGGGCCTAAGGTGGGGAGATGCTGGGTGAGGAAGATGTACATGAATATAGGGGAGCCTCCTTTAAGCAAATCTGATACTTACAACCAAATAGCAAATAAGAGTAGTAGTTCTTTGTGTTACTCAGAGTTATGTGGGCATATAAAATATGGTGAGGTTTTAAAAAGCAAAATTAATTGACCCCATGTTTTGGGAGCACATTTATCATGTGATCCAAGGTTCATGTGTCTGGAATGAGGAAAGAAATTCTTATGATGGGTTAGGAGTCCCTCGTAGGGGACCTGAGGAAAATCACCTTTGGAAGTTTTTTTCCAAAGCTCTGCTTTCCTGAGCCCCTCTTCAGGGGACAGATGACACACTGCCCAGCCCCTCCCCGTGAGCCTTAGAACCTGGCCCCCCTTCCTCTTTGCACTCTCTTAGAGAATCCAAGTGGTCAACAGTTGGGCGGGGGAGCTCAGGGCCGAATGCTTGACCTCCCCTGACAGTGGGGAAAACCCATGCTAGGGACCTCATCTGCCCTTGTGTGGGTGGAATACCCACGCGGCTGCTACGTTGGACACCTTAAAGCAGGCAGACTTGAACATTGTCATGAGCAATGGGCCAAATGACCACCTCACAGACAACTGCCAGGGGGGCAGAGGGATTTTTTTCCCAAAAGGTTCCTTCTTTTTGGTACTTGGTTTCTTGCAAACTCTGTTTTTTGAAGTGGAAATTAGGTCAAAGTTAATTTCATAGCTGATGTCTTTCAGGCATCTAATGCAGGCTTGCAGACAGTTACTGGCCTAGACTAGTAGCCACTATTGTTTTGTTTTGTTTGCTCCACTCTGGGATTGAGGTGGGGAGGGGCAATGACTGGTCCTGCGCCAGACTTTGAGGGATTTCTGGGATGAGTAAGGCATCACTCCTTAGGGAAACTCAGAGTCTTAGTGCAGAACTGACAGTCTGGTGCAAATCCCCATCTCAAAAAGGATATGAGGCCATGTCACTCTTCTGACCCCTTCTATGGGCTCTGCTTGGTATCTGTGGCCTGGAAGGCTGCTGAGCCTTTTGCTATTTAGACGAAATGCCCAGAATAGGCAAATCCATATAGACAGAAAGTAGAGGAGTGGTTGCCGAGGGCTGAGGGAAGAGGAGAATGGGGAGTGACTGCTAATGGGTATGGGGTTTCTTTTTTTGGGTGATGAATATGTTCTGGAATTAGATAGTGGTGATGGTTGCACAATCTTGTGAATATATTAAAAGCCGCTGAATTGTATACTTTAAAATGGTCAATTTTAAGGTATGTGAATTACATCTCAATTTAAAAAAAAAAATAGCTGAGCTGAGCCCTTTGGCTCTTGCAGGGACTTGGGGCTGTTTCCCTGTGCCGTCCTGGTGTCTGGGCATGCCCAGAGACATCTGACATGAAGGAGCCCACTTGAAGCAGTGGGCTTCTGGCCATCGGGCTCATGTTCTCAGACTCCAAGGTCTGAGGTCCAAGTGAGGGGAGCGAGCCCTGGGGGAGCAGGAGGTGAGGGTATGAGCAAGACTTGAGCAGAGGAAGGAAGTGCTGCTGACGCGTGGCTAGCCGGTCCGGGGGGGCTCTGCAGAGATGCACCCACCCAACCCTCCACACCCCTCAGAGGGTGAGCAGTGGGGCCTCACGGAGGAGGGGTAGTGATAGTTGGTCACCAGCCCTGGTTGGGATGAAGCCTGTTAGGAGAGAGTTTGGCACCAGGCTGGCCACCAGGCAGAGCAGAACCAGCCTTTGCCCCTGGAGTGCCCAGCTGAGTGGAGGAGACAGATGAATAAACCTGAATCCCTGGCCAGAGGAGTACTGTCACAAAAGGTCCTGCTGGCGTGTCCTGGGAAGACCTGGCCCCTGCCTAGGCTGTGAGGAGGGTCTGCTGAGCAGCTTCCTGAAGGAGTAGAGTTGTCTGCCAGATGAAGACAAATAGGGGGCTGGCAGGCATCTGGGCTCCCTCCAGACATCCCGAATCTTCCACATCTCTACTTCATTTCGCTACCCCCAAGCCCTAACCATCACCATCCCTCCCCCAGGAAGGCAGCCTCCACTAGGGTCCCTGCAGCGGACCTGGGTCTCTCCCCACAACCCTACCCTAACCCTCAATCCAGGATCCACAGAGCAGCCAAACATAAGTCAGATCCTACCTCTCGCCTGATGAAACCCTGTAGAGGCTCCCATTGCTCTTGAAGTAAAATCTAAGCCACTCACCACAGCCTGAATGCCTGGGTGGCCAGCCCCTGCTGACCGCCCCTCCTCATCTGCACCATACTCTTCCTTTCTCCCTAAAAAGCAGCCACCTCAGTGGCCTGATAGGTTTTACCACCAAGTTCTTTCCATCTCAAGACGTTTGCGCTCGTTCCCGCAGTTCGGCATTCTCTTCTCTAGCTTTTCACCTAGCGGCCGCTTCTCATTCCTCACTCAGGGCTTATTCAGATGTCACCTCCTCAGAGAGACTTGCTCTGACCATCCAAGTGGGGCCTTCCGTCATCCCCAACCGGGCCTCGGCTGCCTTGCCCACCCCGGCAGCTCTTCAGGCCAAGGTGGTTGGCACTGGTTTATGATGCACTTGCCATGCTTAGTCCAGAGACAGCCCATGTGTCAAGTATGTCTGAGCCTTAGTTTCCTCATCTGCACAATGGGAGTGGCAAGCCCTCCTCCCAGAGCTGGAGTGAGGACTGGAGGCAGCAGTACCAGGGACGTGCCCAGGAAGGTGCCAGCGTGGCCTAGGCTTGGGGGTCGGGGTTTGGCCACAATTGATCCCTCTCCCTTGCTGTCCTGGCTCCTCTGGGACCAGGGGTGGCTCAGTGGTAGGCTCCATGTGCACTCCTGTCTGGAGGACTATATCTCCACTTTGGGCCACGGGGTTTGGGGGTTTGAACCCTGGGGACCAGCCCTCAGGTGGGACTCAGGTGTACAGGCCCCCTCCTCAATGCCTGCCTCACCCAGGCATTCTTGGGAGGAAAAGTGTTATTCCTGGGGCCAGACTGGGAGCCATAGCCACTCATTCCATCCTGAGAATCCTCTCCCACCGCCCAGAGATTTTTCGGAAAGAGGCTCCCCTTCCCCAGCCATA